GTGCTGCTTTGGTCGAGTAAACCTTCTGTTTGGACGACACTCCTGTTCTGCACGAAGCATATGCTTGTAGCGTGTGTGGGTTTTCTGAATTTGAGGAATTGAATAAGTGAGTGTCAAACACGTTGCAGCAAATAAAGCTCATCTAATTTGAAAGGTGCTACATAAGTGTGGATGACATGTAACACCGAAAAATTACATTTGTTATTCTTGAAACAGTTTGTGAGAGTACACTCAAAAAGAAAACAACAAATGATCTTATTTTGCTATTTTAAAATAAATGTCTGTACCGATGAGGCTGAGTCTAAAATTTTCCATTTATCTACACTAAAAAAAAAGACTTTGTGTGACCGAGTCATGCTTAGCTTTATTGAAACAGACACTCAGCTGAAAGTAAGGAATTAAAAGACTTTAAACTCTTTACTACACACCGACTGACTAGACAGAACAACTAATTATGGTCTGTTATGATCTAATCAGACGTGTAGCGTCCTGGTTACCATGGGGTCTCTGTAATCTTAAAGCCGCTACATGTTTAGCAGTTTATTTCCATCACAATGAGGAAGTTAACATTTGTCTTTCACACTTGACCCTGAAGTGACAGCGTAACTGTGAATGTTAACTAGAACTAGAGCATGTGTGAAATGACATCCCCTCCAAATGCTCAATGTGTGATGTGTTGATTTTAATATAAAGCTGCATTAGTTTTCAGAGCATGGTGTCTGCTCCATGAACTTGGTCGACTAAATTGTGTTTGAAAAATTACAACTCGTCTTTCTCCGATACGATAACATGAAGGGGTTAGTTGATATCTTTCTCTTTGGAACATCAAGGTGCATTGCATTAGTTTAGAGGTTTTAAACTGTGACATTCGGCCTGCAGCTGGGAGTATTTTTAGCTTGAGCTCGCAGAATTCATGTTGCAAATCTCCACGGTGAACTTGGTTGTGGGGTCTGGCCAAACAGTTAAACTGTGGCGTGGAACGTTTAGCCTACTGACTGCCATTTGTCTGCAGAGGCCTAAGAGCGACCGTTCCACAGCAGTGGTGCATCGCCCTAACCACTCTGCAGCACAACCCAGCTGTAAATACAGATAGGAAAGATTGCCCCAGATATGCACGCGCATCCACGTGCAGACCCGTGTTAGATGTAAGATACACACACGTTCAGGTGTTGTTGTGTGGCCTTTGTGGGAGGCAACCCCACTAAGAAAACAGAAATGAGACAAAGAGATATGAAACCACAAATAGTGCATTTAACTGACATTTGGTGAGCATCAATTCAGACAACGGCTTTTCGTTCAGAGTTGCCATTGTTTGGATAGTTACCCTTTCTGACCTCTGAATGCTGGTTACCCTGCAGTGGGTGCTCACCTCCACCAGGTGGCAATAGATCCGTAAGAAAAGATGGAAGAGCCCCTCAATATGACAAGCAGTCATACCAGGAACATCTGATAACATATAACAAAGTAAACCAATGAAAGATTCACCTTTTTCAAAAGTTTGGATCAAAATTTTACTTTATTATGAAAAAATAGGCATAAAGTGAAGCCTCAATTTTACTGTAGTTCTTGGGGTTGTGGTTTTGATTATTCAACATATCTTCCATATCTTCATGTGACATAAATACCTGTAAGGTGTGAATATTCACAAGTTGAATTCTGTGCTTTCTATTGATGAAAAAGTCATAAACTCACTCTGTTTACTTCAGCCTCTCTGGAAACTTGGTAACGTTTAATTTTAGATTTTAAATGACTGTAGATCAGAGGTGGGCAACATTTTTTTCCAAAGGGCCACATCTATACATTTAAAGCAACCAAAGGGCTGCGTAGAGAATTAGAAAATAATGCTCTTTATGACAGATAATCTAAAATACATTTTAAAGGCTTTGTTCTTATTGTAGCATATAGTACAGTACAGTACAGTACAGTACAGTACAGTACAGTACAGTACAGTACAGTATAGTACAGTATAGAATAGTATAGGATATAGTTAGTTCTAGAATTATCAGTTCTAGAATTGCGTCGCTCAAGGTGGCTGCATGTTGGAGCAGCTCTGTTACTTTCATTCTGAGATTTCGCTTTTGGAAACTTTAATTCCTCTTTTTCTGGATGTAAATCACATTTTTTGGATGAGTGTTTCCTCTGGTAACAGATGCTGTGCAGCTGGAAGGATTTTTACTCAAACTATTTTAGTTTTGGACATTTGTTATGATGCGTAACCATGGCAACAAGGCAGTTTTCTACAACCAATAGCAGCTGATTAACATCTCAAAAGCTCAAATAATATCTCAGCTACAGCCCCTAATTTCAAATGAGTTGAAAAGGATGTTCTGTGGACGCATTCTCATCTACCTGCCAGCTGTGCTCGAGTGCCTGACCACTGAGATCCTGGAACTAGCAGGAAACACAGCTTATGACAGTGGAAGGACAGGATCGTCCCTCTGCACCTACAGTTGGCTATTCGCAGCGACCAGGAGCTTGGCAGACTGCTGGGAGGAGTGGCCATTGCTCTGGGAGGAGTTATGCTCGGCATTCGGGCGGTCCTACAGCCAGGGGGAACCGAGAGGCCAGCCGAGTCAGGGTGGACGGATTGGACAGCATCTGCAGCCAGTTTCTTAGGATCCACTGTGGAATGGACCTTTACAACAAGAGATCCTTCCTGTCTACAACCATCATCATCTATAACATCTCTTAATGAAATTAGGATAACGAGTTACAACAAGAAAATAATTTCCCTTTGGGATTAATAAAGTATTTTTGAATTGAATTGAATGGAATAGTATAGTATAGTATAGTATAGTATAGTATAGTATAGTATAGTATAGTATAGTATAGTATAGTATAGTATAGTATAGTATAGTATAGTATAGTATAGTATAGTATAGTATAGTATAGTAAATGGATGGTAATGGACTGCATTTATATAGCACCTTTCTATCTTATTTCAAGATACTCAAAGCGCTTTACACTACAATCTGTGTCCTCATTTACCCATTCACACAGCACTCTACTAGATCTCTACAAAGCTAATTGAACAAATCATTCTAAAGATACTAATCAGAACTTTATCACATTCCAACACCGATGGGACACACATCGGAGGCTATGAGGGGTTCATTGTCTTGCCAAGGGACACTTCGGCATGTGATTGCTAATGGATTCGAACCCCCAACTCTCGCATTGGAGGATGACTGCTCTAACCACTCAGCCACAGCCGCCCCTAAAGTATAGTATAGTATAGTATAGTATAGTATAGTATAGTATAGTATAG